AAAGGTGTATTTGAACAGAATTTGTTTATTATGCCTTGTTGAATCTTAATCTGCCATAACTCAGGTTTTAAACACAAACAGTAGAGAAGTAGGTTATTCCCTTGGTATTCAGTACACCAAAACCAAAATTGTTTTAATCTGATTATGACCCAAAGTCATAAATTTCACATACAAACATGTTTCAGCTATCCTTTAAAGAAACAACTTGCATCTTTTAAAAAGCTGGTGGAAATTAAGGTTAGTTAGGATACTTGAAGAAATATTCTTCTTTCGCTGCAAACAATTCACATAGCTTTACATGATCTTCAGAGAAATATCTACATGCATACATATCTTCCAACTATATCTATCAATTATGTTCTTTTTCCAGTTTTACATTTTTTTTTAAAGATCTATTATTACCTTATATCCAGGTCCTAACTGATGTATTGCAAAAATCTGTGCTGGGTTGAGTGCTTCAGTGAATACATATACTGCTCCGAGCTGGCCACAGAACACTCTATTAGCATCAGCAGTCTCCGAAGAGCCAAGAAAACATTTATCATAGCTCTGTATCAGAAAGAGGCAACGATAATGAAGTTTAGTCATACAAACTATACAATGAAATAATATTCATGTACAGCTACTGAAGCCAAAAAATACAGGGAGATTGTAATTAAGAAAATAAATCAATCATGTATTACTTCAGAACCTGATTCCCTGTAGTGAACAACTTCATTTTGAATATTGTAGCATTAATTGTTTTACAGGTCAGTATTACAATGCTGTTATGACTAGCTGCTAGAATTTGTTTATTATTAATTGTTCAACATCCAACAGAGAAAATTGGAACAGTACATTCAAGTACCAAATAACCTTCCCTATTGCCTTCTAGGAAATTTGAAAGCCTTGAAGTTCTCTGAATTATAATCATAACTCCCACTGCTAACACACAAGAACATGTGCTGAAATGCACTTTTCTTTCACTGTTCTGCTAACAGAGCTAAACATCTCTAGCAGAAAAAAAACCAAATGCGATTTTTTCTAGTTTGCAACTGGTGTACAGTCTTCCTCTATGACCACAGCCTATAATGATTCGGTTTGACCTTAAACTCCTCTTATGTCTTCTTCCACAGTTACAAGAGTTGTTGTTTTCCACTCCTTCCAACAACTATCCCCCTACACAAAGACCTTCTGCAGTCCTCCATCTGTCCTCTTCCTATTAGTTCAGATTTGAGGTGGTTTTTTGTGGCTTTTTTTTTTCCCAATCTAAATTTATTTTACAAGCATCAGGTTAAGATCTGGTGCTTCCAAGAAAAAAGGCTTTCAGATGAAACAAAGTTTAGAACTTAACTGTCTAGAATAAAAATCTGGGGAACTGTAAAACAAGAGGAAGACAACAACAGCAAGGATAAGGATCTTTGCAAGGCAAGTCTCTCAGCTTCCTTCAGTCACATATACTTTATTTAATGGAAACAAGGATCAGGCCTTGCTTTTTGAGCTGAATCAGCAAAGCAGTAGAATCTGCGTTAGGAAGCCTGCTTTTTCGTCTTGCGTGGCTGCTGAGTTTTACCCTAAGAAAAACTTTTGTCAGCCTGGAGAATGGAAACACATACGGTGAATTGCTGCAGCAACTGATCTGGGGGGATAAGTTATTAACAAGGAAAAGGGGACTCTAAAGAGTCAAAGGAAGTCAAAGATCTGGAGCTCAACTTTGCAATGAGGTGAGGTAAGAAGTATCCAGGTTTTTATCTCTGATTTATCCTCCTTTTAACCAAATACTTCTTTTAGTATTTTTTCCCTTGGAATTTCTGGGTTTTTTTTTAATAATTTTTTTTGGACAAAACTAAAAAAATTCTGAAAAAACTACATCAAAATAGGTTCTCAAGGTGATACCCAGAATGCCCAGTGCTACAAGACCACGCTGACTACTGGTAAACCTAATGGTGAAACTTCCTAATAATTTTCAGTTAGTTCATTAAAGTCTTGGTTAGCCTTGAAGGCCTTACCAACACTTGCGCCATTACTGACAAAATGTTGAGTCAATTCATGTTGAGCAACTGAAATTCTTAATGCTTATTTGAGGAATTTGTCTGAACTATTGATGCCACCCTTTTTCCTAGTTAATACTTAGAAATTCTGAGACATACATTCCTGCCTACTACAAGGGTATTTTCCTGGAATCTTCTAGTTATCATTAATAGTACAACAGCCATCGTAGCTCTCAAAAGATTCTGAGTTTTATATATAATTACATTCTAGGTCTGTTAACCTGTGGTAATTTCCAGTTCTGTCTTTTTTTGTTCTTAGCAGATTACACTTTCCCCATTTTTGGTGCTTCATTCTAGATTAGGTGTTTCCACTATTTTTAATTGGAGGGGAGGGCTAACTCCTGATCTTCTGGTAATTTTTACTCACTTCTGTTCCAGATGCCAAACAATCCGTAAACCTAATTTATTTATTTATTTAAAAATCAGCACCCAATAGTCATAGCTCTTTTGTCTTCCTCCTGCTATCTCACATTTCCACAGTTTTAAACCCAACAGACACTAACCGCTCCAAGCTTGTTTGCCTATTTCTGTACATCCCTGGTAGTATGTCATTAATGACCCCAAGATGAGGTGACTGACTGATCTACTTCATTCAGTGCCTTGGTCCAAATCTTCCTATTTTATTTACATAAAAAATTAAACTCTTGGGACTTATGGACCTTGTTACTTAAGGATGTAAGTTTATCCTCAATATTCTTGATGCTTATAAGCCTTCTTTCAAATGTAGCCCAAGTGCTCCCGATGTCATCAACCTGTTGGCTTTTCAACACTTATGTCAACTTTTAAAATCCATCTACAGTTTCCTTATCCTACAATGGAAACATGAAGTTCTGTGAAAGATGTTAGGACGTCATCATGTTTATCCTCATCCAGCTATTTGAATAAAAATCTTCCACCAAACCTCAATATCCCCATATTCTACACCTTGAAGAGAAGTTTTATGCTTTCTCTCATATTACTTCCCATAACTGGGGAAATTTCCTAATCTAACAGCTCTAATAGCCAAACTCTTCCAATTTAACTTCCATCTCAAAGTGTATTCGATTTCTTATAAATAATTAACTCCATAAGGCATACGGATGACTACAGACCACACGTTTGATTACGTTATACCCTGTCATGCATTTCCCTTCATCTTTTTGTCATAATCTCTAGCTATACTCCTTGGAATATAAAGTCAGTGAGTTATTTACCACTAGCTACTGTATCTTGTGAAGTGCCCTAACACAATGAATCTCAGCATTGCTATGGATTTTATATGTCATTAAATAGTAATAATGAAATCAAAGCCAAAAATGGCTCTATGGAAACAGTGTGTCAACAGCATTCACAATATCAACAGCTATACAACAAATTTTACAGTATTTTCCCCTTTTTCATCCACACTCATATCTTCCCTCTAACATTCAGGCTGAACATTGCGCAGCTAATACATGGAGGTCCCCTCAGCAAAACGAAAAATCTTGAAGAAGGTTTGAGTGATTTAGAGTTTTGCATAGATGACACATTTTCCAAATCCCTAGATGAAAACACGTCTATTAAGACAACATACATTTGTGAAGAATATGGATGCAAAGCCTGAATAACTATTTCATGTAACATCCTATATCTTGCTGCCTGTGTTACAGAAACAGTTAACAACCCAGTGATTTCATGGCTGTGTATAAATAAGAATGAATCAGAAGAAATACAAGAAAAAAAATAATTACAAATGAAAAAAGGGCCTCTTTTTACACTTTCACCCTTTTTGTCATCTGCATCTTTACTTGAGTGTCTTCCAGCGTACATATGAAAACTGTAGACTGAGGTATTCTTCAGTTCTTGTTTGGATACATGAGGTAAGTGTCAGATATTGAAAAAAATGTCAGAAAAACATAAGAGAATTGCAATGCAAGATCAATTTGGGAAAAAATAAAATAAAATAAATTCACAGTCTGTACAAAGATAAAACCTACGCTAAAAAAAGAATTCAACTCAGTCCCTTAATCTTCAACTCAATAATGCAAATCTAATGAAAGTTTTATTAATCTAAAAATATTTAATCATAATGCATTCTGTTCAGTGGTAGCTTTGACACAGTAAACAACTAAAAAATCTTGTCTTCATTATATATAGTTTTTTAAACACTGCATCTCAATTATCTTACAATGTTCTTGTATAAGAAAAGACTGAAAAGAGTAAGATGTATTTAGTCAACAATGTGCAACTCCTGTTCCTTTCTCACTTTTCACTACCTGTTTTCACAACCTGTACTGTTAAATCTTTCAGAATAATCTACATAAACAGTAAAGTACAATATATAATGTAAAGAAAAAGGAATAATTGGTTGATTTGCACAGTCTTTTCTTTTCTCCCAAGGCTATTAAGTTAAGGTATTTTCTTGTCATCTTGCAGGAGACTAAAGTTATATCTAAGTGGAAGGGTATGAAGGTAGGAGTTAACAAATAACTGGATAATTACTCAAGACTTTTCAAGGGAATACTTCTAAAACTCAAGCTTTATATGAAACAAGAAAGTTCTAATACAGTTAAAACAAGAGCTTCTCTTCCTAGCTAATGTATGATAGTGCTAAGGAGCATACGCTCTCCCCTATTTTCCTTTTTATGCCTTTGACACACTGTTGCATTCAGACAACTTCCCTGAATTTCTACTACTTTCTACTCTATTTCCTACTTCTGATCGAACAGATTTCTGTTATTAAAAAAAAGAGAGCTAATGATAACTAGTGTCTTTCATAACTTAGTCTATTCTCCAGCCGACAAAGTAAAACCTTGGCAGAAACTTAAAAGACTTACATCAAAACATGTAAAGCTTGGTAAGCCAATCCCACCTTAAGAAAATATTGTACTACTCCTCCATGAGAAAGTAGAAAGGAATACTGTGAGGAAAATATGAGTAGAAGGAGCAGCTCTTCCCGCTAAGCATTTATGATTAAAGACTACAGAACCCCACACCACCGTATAACTAGAAACTTAGCCCAGATCCTCTGAGACCTCAGCTGGCTTTTCAATCATCACATTCTCACCTATCACAAAAATGTTTTCATTACCAACGAGAAACCATGTTCTGCAAAAACTGAAAGGCTTGCCTTTTCTTGCAAGTAGAAATGCAACCAAGAAAACAAAGAACGATGATCAGAAGCTTTGGCAAACAGTCCTCCTATTTTAATTAACATATAACATTTATACTCTCCTTCAAATCCAACTTCGCCTCTAGAATTTAGCAAAAGACAGTTAATTTCCTTAAGTAAAAAACAGCTTCCTTATCCTATACAGGCAGTCAGAAACAACTGAGAATTATATTATAAATAAGGAATAACAAAAGTGTAGCAAGCTGATGAATCAAGCACCTCTGAAAGTCCAGCACAGCTTTAGCTGAAGGCAAAGCACAAGAGAATAATTTTATTTGCCTTCCCCATCCAAAACTTTGGGCCAGAAAGAGTGCCCATTTTCTGCATCATTAGGTGTAGACTCTCAAGCCTTCCAAAGCAGATAGTATGAAAAGAAAGCACAAAAAGAAATTTTTGATATTTATATATATTTCATTAAAAGAATTTAAATATGAAAAATATAAAAATGGATGCATTTCCTGCTAATTTGAACTCGGTCCAATTAATAGATACAAGTGTATTTACAGGTATACATGCAACCTTCTCCAGGTAAAAATGACTGGTTTCTGCCTGAGGAGCAAGCAGGTGCAAGACGGCGGTGTCTTTGCTCTGAGCTGCCTAATGCTATGCAACTGTACGTGTCTCAATCTCTTTTAACTGGTTTGGATGGCCAATAAAGGAGGACATCTCTCTGTAAAAGTCTACTACCTAACAAAATTGATCAGTATTTCAGGGATGAAATTTTGGAGCAATTAATTTGTACTTGCTAACAATATTAATTAAATATTAATACCTTAATACTTAGCACAGCCTTTTTAATATTGGTCAACTGTCTATTAACGATTGTCAAGTCAAATAATAAAAGGCAAAACATATGTTACTGGAAGACAGATGTAAGACTTCACTCTTTGCTTAATATTATAAATCCCTTGACACTTCTCCATGCTTCTGTTTTCTAGCTTTTACTTTTTGTCTATTTATCTTGTTGGTTTAAAGCTGTAAACTCTGCATACAAGAAATGATCTCTTACTATACTTATACAGTGCTTAAAACAATATGACTCTGATGATAGTTCAGCCTACACAGACCTTCCCAATTAAAAAACCTACTTAAAATTTAATGTTCAAGAACATAAAAAGCACAGAAATCTTTTAACCATTAACAAATATCTCCTCCTGAATCCAACACAGAATTCAGCGTGATACAAAAATGAGTACTTTTGTATACATTGGCAGTATACAGACTCATTTGGCAGAATGAATCAGTTTTTCTTAAAGACTTTTCTCAAGCTGAATCTGTAAACTCTGTAAATCTACCATATTTTCCTATTGCAAAAGCCTATCATCCCGTTATCAGTGTTCTCTCTACATTATCACATATTAAAAATTTTAACTATAACAGTCTCTCCAAACAAAATCTCTGAAAATTTCATTAAAATAGCTATGCAAAATACAGCCAAAAAAATCCCTAATATTCTAAAAATATTAATATATAAACCCAATAATATTACATTTTATTAAGTACATAACTAAGGAAGATAGAGTAAAAAGAAAGTTAAAGAGAGAAAAAATTTGCAAATATCTACAGAAAACAAATATAGTACTTTCTTTTCCCCTCTTCAATTTACTTTAAAATGAAAAGATGTGAGAAAGGAAGAAAATATAATCTTACATCATTCGTGTTAACATGCCAGGCCATGTCACCATAGGATACCAGTTGACCATTCACGTAACATCGTATTTCACTGTTTCTCCATCGATTATAGATGTGTACAATGCTTATCATGTACCACTGGAAAGATATGGAAAATCAGTATACAGTGGCATTTTTTGTGCTATAAAACATAAAGTTAATGAATGGCATTAAAACTAAGTGACCAGTCTTGTAAAGTCATACAAACAGATGAATCCCTGCAAACTCATAAAATTAAGTCACCAGAGTGGAACTTCAAGTCCAGTCAGTAGAATTGTGCCTAAATGTAATGATGTTCCTACCTGCATCCCTTTATGGGATTTGAGCCAAAAACACATACATACAATTAAAAAGTCGAATACACTTCCATTCCTGAAAGTGTAATTTAATTTAAGAACACAAAACACAACTGAGTTTTAATGGGAAATCGAGTTCTATGTGCACTTACCTTAATAAATTCATATCACATATCTCTGCCTTTTCATCATAGCTCTCTGTCAGAAATTATTAAATAAAAGGAAAAAATTCACAACAGCAAATTTTACAGCCCAGTTTGTTATCCTGATTGTTTCCTCTATTCTTTACCATTCCACCATTTTTTCAACAACTGTCATATTATTAAAAATGCCTTATATAATCAAACAGAGAAAGCATCATGATAAAATGCTTCCAAGTACAACCATGGTGATCTTTCAAATAATCTGTTCAACAGGAATCATTATGTCCACAATGAGTAAGCTCAAGAAGAAAACCTTAAGTTTCCTTTAAAACCAAACCTTTAAACTCATCTAAGACTAGGAATGGAAATTTAATTTTCAAGATCTGCAAATCAACTCATACTTAACTAGAATGGGTACCTGTATTGTTTCAAAATATATACAAACCAGACAAAAACAGACACGCTGGTGAAAGTCCAGATAGGGCCACAAAGATGGTTAAGTGATTGAAGCCTCTGACACATGAGGAGAGGCTGAGATACGGGTCTGTCTACTCTGAAGAACGCTCAGGAGAATGTTATACATATATGTATAAATATTTGATGGACACAGGATAAAGAAGATGGAGCCAGAGACCTCTCACTAGTATCCAGTGACAGGACAAGAGGCAATGGACACAAACTGAAATACAAGAAACTCCATTTAAACATACATAGAAAGGGTGGTAGCAAGCAGCGAGGATGGTCAAACACTAGTACAGGTTACTCAGAGAAACTGTGGAGTCTCCTGACTGGATGACATCCAGAGCAACCAGATCCAGGTGTCCCCTTCTTTGAAGGGGAGTGAGACTAGACTGTCTCAACATGTCCCTTTCCAGTCTTAATGACTATGTGAAAAAGTCAGCTCATCTGCCTTGAAAACACTGATTCATATTTAAATAATTTGAAATGGTAATTTACAATTTACTAGTCTTCTCTTTCTTGGTATCTGTTTCAATTATTATCTTTTGTGATTTTTACATTCAGCTAAGTCTCTTGTTTTCAAAGCAGAGAACTTCTCCATCTCTCAGGGCACTATTTTAATACATCACTTGGTGACTCTCTCCCAGAGCTGGGATAAGTAGATACAGAGCCCACTAATATAAAAATCTGCCTCCCTGTATCAGAGAAAGTAAAAGCAAAAAGTTTTCATGTTGATTTTGAAATAAGACAGAACACAGAATTACAAATACAAAAAAATATTTTTCCACATATTTTTCCACATCTGTTTCCAGGTCTTTAAAAATATATTTTCATTTTTCCCCCCCTTAAAACCTACAGTTAATAGAAGGGGCAAAAAACTCTACTAATCATACAACAGTACATAAGAGTACCTCTCTTCCTCCCTATCCAAGTAAACAGATTTATTGGGTAATACTGGATTAAAGACGCAGTGCTACAGCTTTGGCTTCTGAAGTCATGTGTGGCCAGTCTAATTTTTTTTTTTTTTTTCAAACAACAATGAACAAGTATTTTTTGTAGGACACTCCCTCCCTCCCCCCCCCAGCCCAAAAAATCAAAAACCAAACCCACAACTCAATAAGCAAATGTTGTTCCCATTTTGTCAGCAGGTTCTATTTTGGAAAGGAACACCCATCATGAATTCAACAAAATGTTTAAAACTCAAAGTCCAGAAGCTTAACTGGTGACTACGGTCTAATCAGAAACTAAACGCAAACCGCATGACTAGAGCCCTGCTTTCATCAACACTTCTTTTCCAAAGCTTCCACACCAACTAACATAAATCTCTTAGAAGCAAAACACCCTTGTCTTCTCTCCTTCAAAGGTTAATTTAACAATAATCTCCACTAAGTGATGATGATTTTAAATACTTTCATCTCAACTGTAGGCGTTCTTTGCAAAACTACTATTCAAAGTTGTAGCTTTTATAACTATTTACTCGTATTTCCAGTTCTGATATTTTTGTAGCAGAAAATCAGCTCACAACCATAAGCCCCAAGTTTTATCCATTTATCTTCTATCCGCGATTTTTCTTTTACAGTGTTTTAAGAGCATTTCTGACAAAACACCAGTTTGTAACAGTGTCCCTCTGTGTAGCTTAAGCTTAACAGATGACTCATTCATTTGGTTCATTACTTTTGTTGAAACGCTGTCCACAGAGCCTCTAAGGAACTAAAATGAGCAATGCTATCTTGGGAGAGCTTTGGCGTCCACGTCAAACTTTAAGAAAATTATATAATCTTTTTATAATCTTTTTTTCCCCCCAGGTTAACCAACATTCACGCACACGCAGCTTCTCTTAGTTCAAGTCTCCTTTCTTCCATGCAACTTTTTTGAATCTCCAGCACTGCTGCTACGTCAGAGCACTGCCTATGTTCATTACTCTTACCCACAAGGCAAGCTCTACAAAAGCCACTGAGCTTTTCTTTACCTGAATACACATGCACACACATGCACATAGAGTCTATCCCAGCATGTTATCATAACATCCAGTAAAAAATTTGCTCTTTTGCCTCCTGCACTTGAATTAAGTAAATTTACATTTTAAATTGTGATTTCTTTTTATCCAGGGAAGTATTCAAGTATCAGAAAGTTTACTCTTTGTGTCATATTTGTCACTAGTATCAATCTAGATAAAATGAGTAATATAGGTTTTCAAAGCTAGTTCCTAAAATAGAGGATGACAAACTGCACTGAGCCAAGTCCATAATGCATTCTCATCGACAGGAACGTAAAGGTCCTTCTGAGATTCCTGCTTGTTCACTTCATTCCATCTCTGATTTTAATGAATAAAAATTCTCCTATTACATGATGGCATAATTTCTTCAAGGTTTTCAGAGGAGTATAATGCCTGAAGTTCTTGGGGAACCAACATAGCATGTATCAACTGGCTCACAAACCTGTTTGCATGCACCGTAAGAATTCTTCAAATAATTCAACAGAAGCAGGGGACAAGACTTCCAGCAGGGGACAAGACTTTGTCCCCAATATGTTTATCTATATGTTTTCTAATTCTTCTTTTCCATTTTTCTAGCTTCTACTCCATTTTGATGGTGAAGAAACCAGGCATGATAATATGTAATTCTAAATATCAGCAAAGCCTTTTTCTAAAATTTGTATAATTATCCATCACCAATTTGTTTGACAAAACAAGATTATATACCAAAATTAAAAGTTTGGCAAATTTCATATTCAAAATTCTTTGGAACTTGGAGGTGCCTACTGTACAGTCCTGGCAATTAATTATTATCTCATATATTGATGTCTATACCTCTTCGACTGACATTTCAATTTGAGACACTTCCTCTGACTCATCCCCATTGACTCATCTTGTAGTAAACAATGATGCAATTAATTCATTTAGCTCTTTTGTTATGATACTATATTCTTCAAGGGCTCCTATTAAGTCTTAGTCATTTAATTGCCCCTATGGACTGGAAAAGAAAACCCTGAGTTGTCTTATTATTTTACATATTATTTGCTATAATTCATACTTATCTAAGTATTCTTCATTTTGACACAACTTCCACTTTCTGAACAACTTCTTTTTACCTACAATGGTCTCTGCTATTTATCTGTGCTCAGGTACACTGTGAGAGGCTTTCAAACTTTCTATTGGATTTTTTGGACTAATGGTATATTTGCTCTAAGCCTTTTTTATCTTTGCATTTGAGCAATTTTACTAGCACTATGAAACATCTCCATCTTCTAAGTGCTCCTCCTCTTTTCTTTTTTTTTTTTGATCTTCCCAGGTTAATCACAGATGCTATAACCATCCTTATCATGTGGCTAACAATTTAATCTGCATAGCATGGTTTTCCTACATGGTTACCGATTTTCAGTGCACAGAAACTCTGTTATTTATTGTTAAAACAAACTCATTTATCTGATTAGGTTAAGTCTTTAACACAGGGCACCAGTCCTGTATTGGCAAGACCTGCCCTGCTGTCACACCCAACTGTACGTACAATTTGAAATGAGTCCCCACTGACGGTCAAATCAACAAAGCTTCTGATACTTCTATTATGTCAATAACCACCTTTAAAATAGACTTTCCAGTTTCTCTCTTTTTTTTTTTTTTTTAGATTTGTAGAAGCAAGCATATAGGTATTCCTATTATCTAGATCTCATTTATGTGAATGTTCTTTGCTGATGTCGTACAGGCATTTTGTTGATTTCTCTCCTGTTCTGTATCTGAGGAGATGGTCTTCAGCACTTTACTACTACATAATGAACCAAACAAAGTTGTATAATCTCTCACACAATTTTTCTTCAACTTTTAGTAGAAAAAATTGCTTTAAAAAAAAAATAAATTCAAATTCAGTAATACAATTTTCTTTTAAGTTCATCCTACAGTCTCCTCCACTAGATCACTTGCTGAAAAATACACCATGACCATGCCTCTCTGCTATAACAAGAGCTTCCTCAGGTCATACTCAAACACGCTTCAGATAACAGCCTGTCAAATTTTTATAGGGCTTCAGCTTTCAAGCTTTATCACTCATTGCTGAGTATGTCATATTCCTACTCCACAGCACAGTACAATCAGAGAGATGAGGCATCACACACTAAGTATTTCCAAAATGGGGAACTTACTTCAGTCTATACTACAATTAGTAAAGGTGTTCAGGATTAGAAACACACCCAAAAAAAAAGCTGTTTGCTCTTGAGTATAGTGCTTTCCTGTTCATGCTTCTACAAGGATTGAATCTGAGGCTGGAAGTCAAGGGAGTGAAAACTACTGGGGGCTACTAATACACATAATTTTCACTTTGGAGTCCCAAAAAGCAGCGTAGACATATTAAAAGCAACACTGCCAAAGCTAGTTTAGCTCTGTTGAGAGGCCAGTCTATTATACTATGCCCACATTTTCTGTTTGGGGATAACATGACCAAATTTCTCCATGTATTTTTATAAATACTTGCTTTCCTAATGTTGTTAAACTACACTAATCAGAACCTAATTTTACCACTTAACACATCTTAAAGTTTTAAAATAAGATCACATATTATTCTGTCAATGATGTCATATGACATAGTTAACAGTGGGAAGATCTTCACATGGATATAGTATCTTTCTGATCTGCCTGCATAAAAGTTTTGACCAGGTGGCTTAAATACATAATTTTACTGTTATTCAACAAAAATTTAAAAAAAAACCCAAACAACATTATTCAGAAATTTTATTAAGGATGATGTTTCTGGCAAAAGCTATTGCTGAAATGCCTATGTCTGGAAGGAAAAGGCTAGAAAATAGTATATCTGATGACAAAAATCACACTTCTCAAGTCAGCATTTGGACAGTAAGCTGCTTTGTAAATGGGCACACATTGGGCATATCTATACATTCAACGCTTGCACAGTGGAACCAATGTAATACCTAAATAACATGAAGAAAACGAATCTACATGTTAAACAGGATATGTTTTGACTTGTTGCAGCCAGGAATTGTATTTGACAAGTTTTCTTTCCTCCATTATGCATTATGTACCTTCCCACATAAACGTGTACACAAGTTATTAATTGACAAAATGTATCAGAAACCACTTGCAAACATTTTCTAGAAGATTTATTTCAAACACTTTCTAAATCTGACGTATGACCCAAAGTGTATGAAGCATGATCTTTAAGAAATATAAAACTGGCATGGAAGTTATATTTGGACAGACTTCAGTAGATTATGATTTGAAACTGATTTTCATATAATGAGGTATACATGCATTAGTATTTCAGAATTAACTATTTTAATTAGAGTAGCAAGAGCTAAAATTTTCCAGGGATGGCATGAAAGAAACTACTCATTCATAACGAAAATTATGAAAAAAGTATCTTGCTTAAATATGAAAGACTGCTGCTTCATAAACAAGTAAAGAAATTATCAGCTAGGTCCCAAAAGCTTGTTTATCAACAACATAATCTAAAATTTAACAATTCCATTCGTTCCTAGGTTAAGTGTTTATCAGTAGCACCAGACATGCTACTTTAAAAAAACACTAAACTGCTACCAAAACTCTTTTCTGGCTATAAAATTAAAGAAAATTTGCAAAACAGAATTGATTCATTTCAATACACTCAGCAGATATGTGTTTATAAGGCTTTATACATCCCTGAGTAATACGCTAGAAGAGGACATTACTATGTTTAAAAAAACACAAGTAACCTCAAAGCTACATGACAGAATTAGAATCAGAGATTTTGAATCACAAATACATACCAAGAAAAATAGTAGAACATAAAGCTGATGAATGAACAATGGCATTCCCTCCCTAAAAGATTGGTTTCTCAAAATAAAACAAGCACTGAAATTCAGTATACAAATTCTAGGGCCATAAAAAAAGAAATGAGCTTCACAGCAAAATATATACAAGGCTGTTATCAATGACAAACACATAATGCTCACTGTACAGGAAAGTCAATGCTTCAGTCAACTAACTGAAATATTGAAGCCAGCAGAATCATTGTTCTCCTAGGACTACTAGGCATACAGCAGAAATGAACACTAATACGATCTACAGAAATAATCAAGTTTTACTATAAAAAATGAGAAATCCCAAAACACCACTGACATAGAGGAAAGTTCAGAGCCTTCTATCTCCCAGTAACAGATAAGGAAACTCTAGCATTGCCAGCAAAATTGTTCCAGGCACTGGTACAAAAGTTATCAAGTACAGAATGCTGAGAAATAGAATGATGACCTTTTAAAAAGAAAATACAAACATTTTACAAATACTGAAAATTCTTCTCTAGCTGAATCTAATTAAGCAGTATTTTTAAAAAACAAGTTGATTTTATAGAAAAGTTACTTTATAAATTATTACATTTTTCTTGAATTGATTCTTATCTATAACTGACAAAAAACTTTCCAAGAGCATCAGAGAAGCTACTTATAAACAATAAATTATAGATTATTAGTAACACTATGGCACTAAAGAGGTTTTAGCACTTCTGCCCAGAAGCACTTCGTCAAATTATCAATGTTATTCTTTATTGTGAATACCACTTTGCTTACCTTTCGTGGCTGAAAGTCATACTTCACACAGTGCTGGAAACCTTTGCCTTTTGACTTCAAGGATGTAACTATTAAGCAGTTGCCAACAAAATGAGCAGAATACCCAACACCTTTGCTAGTGCGGAAACTGAAAAGAAAGAATTATTAATGTAATTGTAAAAAGGGGAATTATTGTATAATAAAACAAGGTCCAAATACTACTTTAAATTGCCATGAAAAAGAAAAGAAACTAGTATCTGGAACGGTGAACTTAATTTCCTTTATATCTTCTCTTCCCACCATTTCTTTGGGGAGAGCTACTAACCTTCATCACTACCTTGACTCCAGGCTACATTCTAAAAAAACAGGGTTTTGTGGGTTTGGTTTTTTTTTTTTCTTTACGAAAGTCCAAGATGGTAAATATTGTATCTGTCAGGTTTTTCCCTCAGTTTCCTATTTCATCATTATCATCATCTAAAATAACACACTTGATTTAAGTTGTAAAGAGAAATCAATCACGGAACAAATGTGAGATGCCTTGTAATTTTACGGGGTTTAGAGAACAATGCAGCCGATATGACAAACCAGTTTGGATTCAAGGTAATTACTACACACAGGACTTAGTTCTTTTTCAAAACATGATTTAGTTAGGCTAACAATCTATGAAGCTTTAACCATCTGAGTTGTGGATTTATTTTCATTTGTCAAATATATAAAGGACTGCAATTTTAACAAAGTAAGTTTAGTAAGAGTTTCCAGCTTTCCTGTGACAAATATCATAAAGACAGATAACACAGAAAGCTCATACATTTCTCTACTTATATTTGAAAATGAAAGAATTGTAAAGAGAAATTCTGGAGTTCTTAAAAGACACTTTGCAAAGGCAGCTGGTAGAAATTAATGAATGACATTACACAGAGCATTTTTAAAACATAAGTCCATATTTACAGCTATGTCACTTATTCCCTTCTGAAAAGCTAAGCACAATAAAGAGAAGTCTGCTATCAATAATATGGAGCACACTTTATACAGCTTTCAATATAATTTTTTTTAAACTCGTTACCAATCAGGTTATAAAAATAACCAATGGCTGAAATACAAGGTCTAAGAGGTGAACATCATCCATAAATTCTGAAACGAAACTTTTCAAGTGCAAGAAAAAAGGCCCTGACTAATTTTGAACATTTGTATATAGTCCTGTAGCCCACTAATTAACACTTTTTCATTTCCTTACTGTAGGTGACATAATTTCTTTTTTTTTTTTACAATAATAATGTTTTATACGGTTTCATTGTTGTAACATTTTCATCAAACACTTTTACTAGGTTTTTCATACTAACATTAAGAGCTGAAAGGCACATGCAAATACTAAGTCCAGATTTCATCTTACTTACTAGCTGCTGAAATTCTACATCTTTCATCTACCCTACTGTATAAATACAATCTTGATTTTAATATGTGGAAAAAATGCATAGTTATAGACCTAATTCCATCTTCAGAAACTTACAGTTAAATCTGTATGTGTACATTAATGAAAGAGAGAATCAGATTTTTCTCCTTCCTCACTGTCAAAAATATAGCTGATAAACCCACCTTCTGAAAAAAAGAAACACCTTACGAGACAGGTGGTGTGACTAGACCTTGAGGTGGACAAAGCTCAGATGTTCTTCTCCTATGATGGAATTTTTAAAGCAGGTCAAAAAGAGACGTTCAAATTCTAGAAAGCCACTGTTGTTATAATTAATTAGAGTACTTCTATTGAATGTGAAAAAGAGTGATCAGGCTAAACAGGTGAGGAGTAATAACATCTGTAGATGACTCTTTTTCAACTCAATGGGACCTTGCACAGATGTCCTTACTTCCAGTCTTGATTTTAGTCATCTTATGAGTTGCAGAATACTATGCTTCAGCGTCTCTGGTCATCAAGGTGGTTCTCTTGGCCTTGAGGTATGGCTTTGTTTGCTTTTTCCCTTTAGCAACCTGTTAAGGTGCTTCAGAAGCTTTATGTTCTCAAATTCAGGCTGTGGTTTCCTCATTCTTCTATTTGCCTTTATACATCGTACACAATTCTCTCTCCCCTCAAGCTGCTGTGCTGGAAAAGAGCATTATTCCCTGCCATGGCCCTTTTGTACAGGCTTCCACACAACCCTCCTTGCAAAACAAGGGCACTCTTTTAATAAACCTAAAAAATCTCCTCTAAATAAACCTAAAATATAATCTAAGAATGAAGAGAAAAATTGCATATTGTCCATCACCACTGACCTCAACAGTGAAGACAATTTATGACACTGCCATTCTCCTATGTCTTTTGAAGCCTATTTTTAACATGGATCATTTTGATGATTTGGTTTCCACGATGATCCCATAGGCAGCTATACCCCACAACAAAACGAACAGTGGACAGCTTCATGGGAGAACATTACTCATATACATACATAACCTGCATTACCTATATACACAAATAACATGCACGACTACAGTACTGAATTTTGTGCAATAATATGAAGGACAAAAACCTTAAAGTACAGCTTTTACAATAAAGGGAACTGAAAGTGTTCAGGCTAGTCTGAGACTTTGATTTACGTCCTTGGGGCCAATACTTATGCCATTCAAAGAACTTTCCACCAGGCAGTTGCATCTCTCACAATGCCAGATTTGTTTCTCAGCAACAAAAGCAATCTCTACAAGCTAAAATTATTTTGGCCAACAGAATCTTATTCTGAAGGATATTGAAAAAAAATACACAGATTGACTATGTTCTGACATGTGGTGTAGTATTATTTATTACCAACAGCCAATCATTGTTAATACCATCACACTTTTACCTGATAAAACATTATTAAAATTGTGTAAAATGCTTCCTACTACTTTGAACAGGAGCTATTAAACATTTTGTTATACACTGAGAATACTCTGTGGGGGGAAAAAAAAAAAAAGAAAAAAAGAATGTCTCTTGAAGAAATGTCTACACTTTTAAAATTTTTCTTTTTCCTAACCTCCCCAGTTATTGGGCTGATTTTGTCACCATGATGGTCAAATCAGACTGTTCCTGAAATTTTAACCACTGAATTGTCCTTACATGTATAACTTCCAGGAGTTCAGCATATGAAGACAACAAAGCAATAAAATAATGAAAAAATAGCTCATCTCTTAGCAGGACTCTTCATCTTGGAATAGAATGAATGGTTTTCTAAACATGAAGCTTAGCCAAGATTTTACTTTTTTTTCCCCCTAATGAATTAGCAATCTAATACAACAGTAGCTGATAAATTGAAAACTCAAATATGTTCTCTCTTTACCTCAACATTATAACACACAGATTATGTTAATCTTCACATTTTATTTCTTGCCAAAGGTAAAGTAGGCTAGGACTGGTCTCTAGGATACTGCTCAGAAATTCTCTAACCAATTACCTACACATGCAGAACTTGCCACATCCACAGATGAAATGCACAGAGACAACAAGAGCAGTACTGTCAACACCCATATGGTTTTATGAGCCTTAAACTACCTCCCACAGCAGCTGGTATACAATTTTACTACAGATCGTTCATAAAACCCTTATAGTTATGTTTCTTTTCAGCCAGTTTCTCAAAGCAGCTACTGGATGTTATTACACTTCAATAGCAGGTAAGCATTTTTCCATTCACTGGTGAAACTGTTTAGTGATTCTTCAGTTTAGGATTTTACGAGCAATTTAACATATGATCGTAGTACTGAGATTGACTAGATATTAATTCATTCTTGCCTGAAGAAAGAAAAAAAAAGGTTTCTTTCCACTAACTTTGGAATTCCATTATGTGCTTTTGCAACTGTTCTGCATTATATCTATTATTATTACCTTTAGAGAAAGACTGAAAAGTCTAGATGGCTTGTTTTGTGGGTTTGGGGTTTGTTTTTTTTCCTTGTCTCTACATGAGTAAAAATAAAATTTAGGATGCTCTTTCAGAAGTTTTAGCCATTCTTCCATTAAATGGTTGTGGAAGCACTTGGACATTTTAAGGACAAAAAACAACAATTATGACAATCCATCATCAGTTCACTCTCTAATACCTTTACAGAGCCCAATACACAATCTGAAAGAAAGCATCTCTTAAAAAACCCAAAACCAAACAAGCCAACCAACCCACCCAAAGCCACTAACAAAACACAAAACCCCACCAAAACCCACAATCTTAATATCTGGATTGATTTACTTAGAAGTAATATCACTCCACCTTTTTTTTTAGCAGAAACAAGTATAAAAATTTAGAGGATGGAGACTTCCCAGTTGAATGTGCTTAAGGTTAGACCTAAATTCCTAAATTTGCACTGTCTTTATGACAAAGAATCTACACCTCATTTTTGAGGAAACATCTCCAATGATCTATTAAACTGAGATTATTACTATTATGCTGTGTCTTATTATAAATGTGATAATTAAAGTGACCACAGTATTGTGTGTCTAAAAGTTTGAATTTTCCCGTTTTGCTGTCTACCCACTGGATCTCAAATTAAACAATCCATCAACATCAGCTTTTGCATAAATTCTGAAAACAGAAGTCAAGAGCATCCTTAATTTCATCTTTTTTTTTTTTTTCCTTGGAAGGTTTCATTATAAAATGTGCTTTCCAGAGCACAGTTCACTCCAGTGTTCTTCAAATTGTACCATTTTTTCCCATGGTCTCTTAAAAGAAGTAGCAATTCTTAACTGTAAATGGTATTCCAGTAATGCTTTGCCAAGATTTAAGGAAGTGATCACATCACCTTTACTCTCTTCTCTGTTTGTTCAGACTATCCTTGAAAAGACCACATCAGCTCTTTCAGCTAGAGCAATGAAAAAGCAGTTTACAGTCAGTTGGTTACCAACAAAAACTCTCAACATCATTCCGTAATTACTGCTTTCCAATACATAGCTACTAATTCTGTAAGCATGGCACCCATTATTCACTGCTAGGTAGATGACACTGGTTTGCTTATAGTAAAATTTGCACTACAGAATTCTGAATGTTACCATTTGAACCTGACTGCTCTGCAACAAAGCTTTCTCCTTATTGTTATTTATCATCCATGCAAATTTCAAAGACTTCTAATTTTCTTCCAGGATTGTCACACTCGTTCTGCAATTGGTAAGAAAGCCACAATACTGTTCCAATACACAAGTATTAATAGACTGTCACTTAGCAGCTGCCCAAAATCATCCTCAGATAATCAAAATTATTTAAAAAGAAAAAACCAAAAGCCAATTTGGCTTACAGTTCTTGAAACAGCACCTAGCATTTAGCTAATTAACAAACAGTAGTGGTTTTCCCTCACATCTAGAAAATGTGAAAGCATTTCTTTGCTTCTCTTCTCCACTTTTAAACATTAGTTTTCACATCATGGCCAAGCTGATGTAATGTCTCTCTCCCACGAGAAAGGCTTCTGACCGCTTCTTTCTGCACTCACTTAAAGCCTGGATCACACTTAAGAAGGTGATTGGGAACAGTTAGCATGAATTAACAAAGTGGAAACCATCCTTGATCAAACCGATAGCCTTCCACAATGAGATCACTGGCTTGGAGGATGGAAAGGAAAGCTGTGGATGTTTAACCTGACTTTCTAGCAAGACGTTTCAACACCGTAATAACCTCAATGACAAATTAACAAAGAACAACCTACACAAGTGGACGGTGAGGTGGTCTGAAAGCTAACTGAACTGCTGGGCTAAAAGCATTGGCATCAGTGGCATGAGTCCAGTTGGAGTCCAGTTACTATGGGAGGACCCCAGGGGTCAATACTGGGTCCAATCCTGTTCAGCTTCTTCATTAATAACCTGAATGATGAGACAGAGTGCACCTTCAGCAAGTTTACAGATGATAGGAGTGGTAGATACACCAGATAAGTGTGCAGTCATTCAGAGAGACCATAGCAGGTTGGAGAAACAGGCCTACAAGAATCTCATGAAGACCAACAAAGGGAAGTGCAAAGCCCTGCCCCTGAGGAGGAACTGCCCTAAGCACCAATATATGCTGTGTGCTGACCAGATGGGAATCAGCTTTGCAGAAAGGGACTTGGTGGTCTGGATGGACAGTAAATCGACCATGAGGCAGTAATTTGCCCTTGTGGCAAAGGGAGCCAACAGTATGCTGGGCTGCATGAGGAAAAGTATTGCCAGCTGTCTTGGTTTGAGGTAAGACAGAACCAATTTTCTTTTCAGTAATTTTACTTTTCAGTTAAGCCTCTTCTAACTGCACCTTCTGAAATTAACAGCACATTTTTCAGACAGTGTCTGCTTTTAGTGGATAACGTCTGATGTATATAGCTGATGCCCAGGCATGGTATGCAGAGAGGCTCTTGCTTATACTTATTGCTCTATCACCCAAGGGCAGCGAACTTTGTTATGTGCCCCGTTGGAAAGTTGGAAGTGGAAAAGCATAGAGGGGTCCCACCTGCAGGGAGGAGCGGACAGGACAGGTGAGCCAAAATTGACCAACAGGGTATTCCATCCCTGCTCAATATAAAAGCTGAGGGATCAAAGGGGTCAGGCTCTTTCTTCAATGGTTGGCATCTGAGAAGGACTCTGGTTTTAGTTATTACTTATGGTTCGGTTTAAGCCCCTATATAAAAAAGCCAATTATTTGCATTGGTCCTAATTTCCTTCTGAGGCTGGCATATTCAGTTTCTCTTACGTGTATTACATACACATTACATTTATACAGACACAATTTTGGCATTTTATCTCTACATAACTGACTTCTTTCTGTGGCTCATATGAAGCACTTGCAAAGTTCCACCTTGTTAGTCACAGAATTTTTATTTCCCACTCTTGATAAATACTATCCTTTTACATATATTCCGTATTCTCAAGCCAAATACACCACCTAAAGTTGCCAATTATGAAACATAAATTCCGGCTGAGAAACAAATGACAGTATTACATTCCTGTATGCATGTTCAATCCCATAACTGCATTTGTTATTGTCCTTGACAGACTGAAAAATAAATAAAATATAGATCATACTAATAAACATAGCTACAGCAAACAGCTCGAAAAAATCTCCGTGGTAAAATAACTATAGCACTTAGCAGAAAATGGACACATGGAAAAGCATTATCCCACATGGTAATTTACAGGAAACGTATTATTTTTTTAATTCAGAATTGACCTAAATTGTTTTTAATCAGATATTTGTTCTATAAAAAATATGAATTGTTTTGGTTTTCCCAGTAAATGCACAGTAAGATTTTTATGTATTGATAGTACAAGTACTTTCCTGAGACCACATCCGCTGGTTCTTTCCTCAGCTGCCTACTAAAAACTCCTGCTCTTTAGACCGCCCCGAATGACTAAAGAGTGAGAAATGTCACTTTTGGTGACCTCCCTCTTTATGCTACTCCTGTATTCCTGAGCTGATAAAACCTGTTAGATCTTCTTACATAATCTCCTCATCTGTCTGCACAGCTGATTGATACACAGTTTTTGAGACCATGAGAAAAGGTAAGCATACTAAATAGAAAATACACAAAGAATGAAGAAGTGCTGAAGATACCACCAGCATGTTGTGCCACAACAGAAGGTTCCTTATTTTCCTTTTTGCCTTTTCCTGCAGCTAAGACAACTATACTTGAGCAAATATATGATTAATTTCTGAAGTGAAAAAACTTCTTCTCTTGTTTAACCAATAGAATAAACATTTTTACTTTTATACCATAATTTCTAAGTATCAGATGGCTTTATTAAGGATGTAACTATTTCCAGTTTTATCACAAGAGCAAACCTAAGTATTTGTCTCTCCTGCAATTAATCTATTAGGAAATACAGCTTCTCTTTTTGGTAACAGGTGATAAAAAGCCATTTTTACATCCACAGACCTACTTTCTACTACCTAGAGCTAATGTGCAAACAGTGCTCTCTGAGTACAATGGATTTGTTTTACAGTACTGACATCAGCTGAGAATATTAAATACCAAATAGAAAATACGGCAACATTCTCAGTTTACAGGTCTAAGAAATAATGTATTTTAAAATTGGTGAAGAAACCACCACATTAGATTTTACAGTTTATCTACAAGGCACAATGGCTTGCATCCGTAGACTTATAAATTGCAAAACAAAAAGGATAGATGACTTTTTAGGAGTTTGCGTACAGTAATCAGCCATTAAAATCTACAAGTATTTGGGGGAAAAAAAGCATATCAGAAACTAAAAACAATGAGAAAGATTAACGGTTACTAGGAAGCCAAAACAAACCATAACTGCAGAATTATAAGTTACTTACCAATAGAGATAGGGTTTATCCTTATCTACATTGATATTGTTTAGTGGATCCATACGAAACCAGGTGTTAAGAGTAAACCCATTTTGATAAGGCCACTTAGCAATAGGAGGCAATGCAATTGCCTGGGGGGGGAGAAAACACAACAACAACAAAATAATAAGAAAACAGCAAGTCCAAAAATGGGTTTTTTGAGAACTATTGTTAAAGGGAATGCTTTTCTAACATCCCATCATTCTAGATCTGCAAATCTGATCTAACTTTCAAATATTATGAGAGAATATAAAACACCTTCAAATAGTGCTTTTGAATAAATGCATTAGTTTTCTACCTATCTTAAACTACTTTAATTTTTAACTACATAAATTCTACCAATAGAGGACATGAAATTAAATCTGTGAATGGGCGATATTAGGAAGAAAAAAAAAGATAAAAATTACTTCTGCAGAAATTAAACTATAAATTCAGCTTTCATTTGGTATTCATCTAATCAATAGACATAAACATTAAGATCAAATTAACCTCAGCAGAAAGTACAGTAGAGATGCAATGTTAAAACTATGGTATAAAAAAGTTTTTTCTCTGAGATTTAAGAGCATTGAAAGTTTTTTTTCCTACAAACAATAAGGTAAGAGACTGAAAAACTCAGTCCCATTCTCAGTTACATAAATTAGTATTAAGGCATGGCCTGAGAACAAATTTGAATTTTCAATATTTTATTTTTCTGGGCTGACACTGATGAAGAGGTTTCAGAGATTTTTTTATCCCTCGGCAGGGCCTTGAATACTTAATCTAACTTTGAAGTTACGTACACTTCAGGGAGGAAATCTGACAAGTTGAACTTCAGGTCACTTACTAAATAATTTTTTTGTATGATACCACTAAAAGACAAAATATTTTTTCCCCCTCAGTAGGATATGCACAAAATAAAGTAATTAAAAATTTTTAAGAAATTAAATGCTTGTAATAATTTAGAGATTACTGTAGTAGGCACTCATTACAATAAATTGTTTCTCCCTCCATTGGACAAAATATAAATCATCTTACACAAAAGTAGCTAAGGAATAATAGCCTTTAATACTCCTTCTTGCAATAAGTTGTATATGAAGGCAAAGCACGAGAAAATAGTTTTCTAAATAACTATAGCATGTTATTTCTAAGTGTATTAATTGATATCTTTCAGCTTCAGTAAGATAATTTAAGCTCTTACTACACTTGAAAATAATAAAGCCTAGTTAATTAGTCCTTGCACTGATGGTACTGTGTTCTTATTAAAGCCACCACTGATACTGACTGAGCACCGGCACAGGCAGCCCATAGAGTCTGTGGAATCTCCACCCTTGGAGATGCTCAAAAGCAATCTGAACATCATCCTGGGCAGCCTGCTCTCAGTGGCCCTGCTTTAGCACAGGGTGGTTGCCTGAGATGACCTCCAGAGGTCTCCCAACCTGAAAACTTCTATGATTCTGCTTGATACTTATTTCCAGAGTTGGAAATACTTTTTCAGGAGTGCTCAAATTTTGTACTGTCCTGATTCATATAGAAGGCTACAAAGAATTGTAGCAAACTCATTTATTTCTTAAAATGAGAACAGACATGAGTCTTCTGGCAACAGTCACAATAACCACACTAAGATTCTATGCCAATGTAGTCAAGTACGTAAAAATTGTACAGACTTCTCCTTATGTTTATATGCAAGGCAATTGCTGAAAAAGTTCTAAGAGCAGAGAATTAGAAAATTAAGAATAATAGGCAACTCAGTAAATTTTGTAATTAGATACAGCAATGTGCTCAGATTATATTAGTGTTTGACTAGACAAAACAAGTAACACCAGTTCTGCTACTAGCCTGCTACCAACTGCTCAGTACAAAACACTTCAAGGAACTCCTTTAGGATACCACTCCCGCCTCCTGAGAGGGAGTTCCCTGCCTGAAACAGGAAAATTGCTGCTTAATGACAAACAGAAACAACACCTGGGAATACTACCACCATGACAAGGTGTCCTCCTAATGGGGTGACTAATGTGCTACTTATAAGCCCGGTAGAGATGTAACAGTACTGGGAAGAGCCCTTCAGTTGGGACAGTGAAGCAAATGTCAGCAGATCAACAGACAAGGAGCATCCATCCAACTTTAAAGAGGACCAATCTGATATTTATCATGTCAGGTAAACATTATGCTGTTTTGCTGCCTGATGTCTCTGCCCGATGTCCACTGTGCATCACACCTGAAAACCTGAACTCAGTGCTAGTAAACTAGGTCCTATCCATTCTCTTTCTTCTAATGAAGTGCTGCATTGTTTTGGTAATTTTATAAGTAATTACCCTTGGTCCACTTCAGAGGACGACTCCTCTCTAGAATTTCATAGTGTCATCCAACATGCACTACTCAAGAAATGTAAACCTGAAACTCCTATTTCTTGATTTACAGGTGCAGTCAATGATGAGTGACATGTGAAACAAGATCCTAACCCAGAAAAGAGAAATAATTATAGAGTCATAGAATGGTTAGAGTTGGAAAGGACATTAAAGATCATTCTGTTCCAACCCCCCTGCCACGGGCAGGGACACCTCCTACCAGACCAGATTACTCAAAGCCCCATCCAACCTGGCCTTGAACACTTCCAGGGATGGGGCCTCCACAACTTCCCTGCCACAACCTATGCCAGTGTCTCACCACCCTCACACTAAAGAATTTATTCCTAATATCTAACCTAAATCTACCCTCTTTCAGGTTAAAACCATTACCTCTTGTCCTATCCCTACACTCCCTGACAAAGAGTCCCTCTCCACCTTTTGTGTATGCTCCCCTTAAGTACTGGAAGACTGCTACAGAGTCTCCCTGGAGCCTTTTCTTTTCTTTCTTTCAATGCCTATTGTTCATTTCAATCAAGAAACTTTATGCCCATGTAAAACTGTCAGTACTGAGAACTTAATTTTAAATATGATTTCCAAGAACTGATGCATCGTTTTGGACAGAGAGGAATATTTGAAATTCTTCCCCTGCAAAACTTTTTTTGAAGTTTTAATACAAAATTAAATTTAAGAGAGACACTTCATCAGCGTTTGCCTCTGAAGCCCACAAATGTCAAAGCAGTATGTGTCATTGTAGACATTCATATTCTGCAACAGCTGTCTTGCTGCTGCATGTACTTTTAGGAGAGGTTAACTGTGGTTTTAATTTGGCAGTAGCAAATGAAACTCTCTCTTTCAAAACTCAGTAATTAATTCCTTACACAATCTGTCCCGTGTCTTTTGCTGACACATCTGTTTGTGCAGCTGAATATCAAATCAGATCAGGGTAGTGATCTAGCCAAAAATAACCAGGTGAAAAACAGTGATTTTCAGCCAGTTTGTTTCCCTGATGCAATCTACCAAACCAACAGCTGTATTCACAAAGAAGAGGAGGCGGTGGTTTACGCTTGAAGAAAACTATCAATCAGTGCTATTGAGGAAATACAAGTAGAACAGCCCAAGAGAAGCTCCTACCATCCTTCATGCGCTGGCACGAAAAGACCGGGGTCCCAGGATTATTTGCCCTTAAAAGATTCCAAGTTCTACCATGAGCATGTACTATTCCATACCAGAACGGAATTGAACCTCAGATCTGGATTTCTCCTCTTTAAGAATTTGTATTTACTGCCCTGATAATTGTATTTATAAATCTGTACACAATACTTGAATGCATTTGTAGGTTTTTCTGAACGTACATGCAGTAAATGGAACAGAGAATGTTTAGAAAGCAATACAATTTCATCGTTGCAAGTTCTCTCAAAAAGTAAAGCCAAAAGAAGACTGCATTTAAATCACTGTTTTGAGGGAAAGGAAACAACTGATGGAGTTCAGACAAGAAGAAAAAGATATAATAAAAATTGTGACCAAGCTGTCACTGTAAACTGTGATGACACGCACAAGCTTATACCTATATTTCCCTCAAGCCTCTGATTTATATAATACCGATTACATTATTCAAATAAAATAATACCATTTTTGGGAATTTTCAGTTTTGACTTTTACGATAATTTCCTCAGATAAGAATTTGCTATTTTACATTCCAACTTCACAAGTGTAACTTCTTAATACTGCAACTACCTTGCAAACCTATGGAAGGCAAAGTCTACACTACTCAAGCACGTACTTCCCCTCTTGTTTCTTTCACAAGAATGAAAGGAAACACCGATAAGGAGCAATTTATTTGTTCCTCGAGTTGTAATATTTTGGTTGAAAACTTACTGCAGCACTACAGCCTGGGAAGTTGAAAAAGGTATCAGGCCCATGTCTCTGTGGCATCTGATTAAGGACTGATAATAGTTTAACCGCATGTCTTGGCTGTGAAAACAAGAACATTGCACAAAAGTCAATACAACCATTTTTGTACTCTCTAGGCTACAATGGAAATTGGACTGTTTTCAAACAACACAGCAAATTAACTCTAAAGTAGTTAGCAAAAATACTTCATAAATATACGTTCAATCAACATGAAAAAATTATTCAAGTTTATATGTCCCAGGAGACAATTTATGTTAACTTCAGGCTCTAATGGAATGACACTTAATGCTTTATCTGATGACAGCTTACCCAGATTCCATTTTCGCCTCGAAGCATGCTGAACAAAAGCTTCAACTCTTTGACAGTGATGCTGTAGCTGGCAAGAACCCCCAACATATCAACTAGAAGATCTTCAAAGGAAAATAAAGTTATTCTGAACTCTGAATTTCATTGTTTTGACAAAAAAGCTGAAAAAGTTAATACCTTTAAAAGTAAGCACATTCAGAAATTCTAAAAAAATCAAACTTAGTAGCCTTAAATATTTTACAAAAGATTTCATATTCTTATTGGTGTAGTTATTTTAAAAATAAATTTACATATGCAGTTTTAGATTTTGTGTCAGACTTTGAACAAAGTATATATTAAATTTATGAGGAATTAATTCTTCCCATTTCATAAGATTCACCATACATTATGAATTTCTTGCTTGCTCCTGTCTGTTACATACTTTTGGGATAAGGGTTTCTTCATTTCTCTGACATTATTGTTTTTAAAAAATTTCTGACCTAAAAGATGCTTGACATTATTCTTCAACATAAGCACATCACATTATACTGAGAATTTGTATGGTTCCCACAGTTTTGCTCCAGTGATAATGCTTCCAATTTTTAGCGGAATGAAAGGCCAGGAAAAACAAACACACACATCCCAAAACCCCTCAAAAAATCATAGTGAGAAACAATAAAAGACCACAATAAAAATAAGTGATCAAAACTGTTAACGAACTTATGTAACACAGCTTTCATTAAAAAATCTCAAAACCCATAAACATTTAAAGTAAAAGCATTACATAGCCTGCCTTTCAGAGAATACCAGCTTTAAAATTACTGCTAGTGCTGGGATCTTTATTTTAAAACACAGAATTTTATTTTAAGGATTTGTTAGCTTGTGGGATGCTGGACCTCACTTTATACTCTACACTTTCTTCTGGAATGAAATGCACTATTAAGAATAACTACTACTTCCTCTAGCAGGAGGAAAACCAATTTGCTTATCTTCACAGATGTGGCATAAGAAATTTAATTCAGAGATCAAGCAGTGAAGTACAGAGTTTCCAAAACAAAAAAGCTATGACAATAGCAACAATCAGAAAATTTCGCCCATAAAATTTGCAGAGGACATGAATAAGCTTACGTCTTATTTTCAGGACTACCTGCTCTCCTTGTTCATTAGTGAAAGGATGACTCTTATAGGTGCTGACAAAGAGTAGTCTCAAAAAGCATCCATCCTTTTCAAGGACATTTCACATTGATATTTTGTTTTAAAACAAATTTTCTCTCTGCAAATCCCTACGTATGTGTTTTTGAGTAAAACCATCAATATCTATTTAACCTGTTCCACCATGAAACCAACCTTTGGTCCTCAGTAAGCAAAAGACACATGCAAAGAAAGAAATATTATTTCATTTACAGGAGACATAGTAAGCTGTTCAGTGAGTGAAACTGCATGTCAGGAAAGGCAAAAGAAAAACATTGTAACCTGCAGACATTTTTATTATAACATCTGAATATATTCCTAATGTTCAAGTATGGACTTTTTCCCCACCCTCCATCGTTCTTTAAAGGAAGAGTTTATTTAATCTTCCCTTATATTTGTGACAGAATTTGTTAAGGGAAAGCAAAATAAAGCTAAGAAAACTAAAACCCCTTGTCTTTTGTGATGGTGAATTCTATGACTCAGCTCCTCCCCCAGTACCTACAAGCGCCTGCTCCCTTCGCTGTACAGTCTCCAGCCTGCAGTGTGAAGCTGGCAGTGATTGCACATATTGTACGTGATCAGAAGTTGAGAACAGTAACACACTGAAAACTCAGAAAGGGAAATCAGCACAAGTGAACACTAATCTTTGGCTGAGAATTCCCCATTTCTTATTCTGTAGTCTTAGGTTGCTTTCTAGATAAGCTACTTTCAAATTTTGGTTCCTTTACAGAGAAAAATTGTTGTGTAGAAGAAAAGTTGTTTAGTGAAATTAGAATATCAGTAAAAAAAAATCTTCTAAAATAGATGACAAAAGCATAAATTAATACACTCAAACACAGAAATGATCAGCAGATTTTTAAAATTACTGAACATGTGCTGCTTTGTTTCATTGTTATAGCCCTGTACTACCTCATGGCACAGAAAATTTCTTATTTCTACTGAAGATGTTGATAACCACAGGCATTAGAAATACATATTTATAAACAATGAATAAAACATTAATGGAGAGAAATAAATGTAAGCTCCCTAACAACATAACTCTGGGTAAAACAAAGACCTGCAAGATTGAAGCCCAGTATGTAACAAGTAAGCATAAAGCAAAGAACATCTGTGGAAGTCGAAGCACTTAATGCTAATTAAAAATATTGCTGTACACACCTCTAAAGAAGGTTTGTTTCTTGTTTAATATAACAAGACTTAAAAAGAACTATACTCCATTTCATAACTTCATTAATACTTAATAGAAATCTCATATAAAAGAGTCAATCCGCATCTGGTTTATAAATCCTAATAATCCACTCATCTATAAATGGACAAAGGTCACAAAACATACTACAATTGGATTTTTTGATGTTCAGTTCATTTTTTTTTAATATTAAATAAGATCACATATATAACTGGTATCTATGATCTCATTTCAGAAACAAGATTGTGTAAAATAATACTAAATCCAGAAGGAGAAAACAGGCATGGTTCCTCATTTTCAATGCATTTCTAAAATGCACTGAATGCAACAGATTTTATTTCTCTTAATGGCACCTTCTGACTACTTTCACACCAAGCAGCTTGTACGTGATCTATAAATTAACCAGAAAACTGGAAGGAATGTTTAATTCAGTCATTTAATATGAAAACACAATGGTAGAAGAGACTGCCTGTCTTCCAAGTAACAATAAGAATATATCAAAATGAATAGTATGGCATTAACTTTAAAAGACATATTAAACAGCATTGGAAATGCAGCTTCAGGAAAACTACCCTCATGCCACCTTAACCTTTTAATAAGACAGCCATGAAATTGTGAATTTTAACTCTGTTGGTGAAGTAAATTAATTTCTACAGGCTGACGATAGAGAATGTGATAATTTTGCAGTTCTTCTTTGGAACCAGTTGAAAGAGAAATGCTTATTAGCAGCCCATTAATGGCAAAGCAGTCAAAACCTAACAATTTTGCTTAAGAACTAGGAACTGTTTCAGTACTTAAGAATTCAGCTCCAGCAATTTTAGAACGATTACCTACAGCATCACAACAGAACTGCGGGAAATAAAAGAGGGCTCACGGGAGACATATCCACTCTGTATGAGTTCAGACTACTTTCTCATCTACCATTCAGACTTCTCTGAAGGTACTACAGGCACACTATCCCAAAGAGCTTCTCAGAGCAGATGATCTGCTTCATTACTCATCACCTGCAAACAGAGAACTCTAAAAAAGTGAATCCCTCAAGGAAGATCCTGTGCAGCTGTTAAAACAACAACAACAACAAGTATTTTAGTAATCTTTTCCCCTTAACCGTTGATAAAATGGCTGAGTATCCCCTGTCTTAGTACAACAAATTATCACAGTACGAAGATGACTTCTGGCAGATGTTGCTTCTGGAAAGCAAATTGGAATACAAGTGGCAATGATCCCGTCTGGATTGCAGTTGAGATTTTCAAGGTGATTAAGGCCGGATCTGCAAAATCTCAAGAAGTGAGATACTTAAAGTGCAGAGAAGCCTCATGAATCTGATAGTATTCCTCTAAACAGACAAGTTCTTCTCACTACAAAAGATTGGGTATGTGTTTATTTGCTGTTGTCTTACTTTCATAAAAGCAGAGGAGAGTGGCTTCAGACTTAGATTGGTCCTGAAATTGTTCTGTCAGAATACAAAAGGGACATTATGCCTGTCTTTTCTATTTAAACCTTATCTAGTTCTAATCACAGCATTTCACAAAGGAACAAGTGAGATGACCTAAAAACAACCAACCAACCAACTCCCGTAACAAATAAATAAAAAAAGCAGAAAACCTGTACCCTTTAGAGATGATAAAAGCCAATTGCAAAACATTGGGCTGATAGAGTACTGGCAACTGTTTTGGGAAGAAAGTGGTACTAACTTCCTAGGAGTAAGCACTAACACAGCTCTTGTTCAAAACATCCTCCCTGAATGTTAAAAACCATTTTGCCATAAATTCGCTTACTTTATTCTCTGGGTTTGGAAAGTTCATAGAAATATTTGGGGCAAAGCAGTTCTACAGTCATCTGGTGTCAATCATGACCTCAACATCTGCATAGCAAATAAGGCAACACAGATACTGCATTAGTTGTCACCAATTTTGTGATCAAGTGTCTACCATTGAACTAGTTATTGCATGACCATATTTACTACTTCTGACTTATTACCAATAGTGTTGCCGCTTATAAAAGGGTGGTGAAGTGCTTGCAGAAATCAAGACACAAAAGCAAAATGATGAATTTGGTTGCTTCCATGTCTTTGTCAGAAAAACTCTCAAAACTCCCACATTCTCATCTATTTACAGTTGTCAGAGAAAAAAACATACAAAGCATGATCCCTGCTCATAATATATAGAAGACTATTCAGATTCAACACAAGTTGCAGAGCTAAAAGGCCATCAGAATTCCAATTTTCAGTTTTGATCTTAAATATGTGCTCTCTTTGTCTGTGTAAGTCTACAGAAGAACAAATTTACTGATCTTTTTTTCTGCTGAAGGTCTCTTTCTGAAGTACTGTGTGACCACTCATGAAAAGATTAATGGAGTAGAGGCTCCATTAATTTTTTTATTAATGTACTACCCCTGGCTTATATTAATAGCTGTAAATTCAGAGTGATTTTTCAATTCCCAAGTGCTCCTGGAAGCCAGATCCTATACTTTTGATTTCTGACTTCTACAATTAGCTAAGCATTTTTAGAAATTTCTCTCTAATGAGGACATCATTACAGTTATATATGCTACATACAGAAGTACTATCTGGGGGAGCTCAAACTGGACAAATTTTATTGGTAATATTACTAATGTAAGTACATTATTTCCATGAGTGAAACCCTGAAAAACTTCAAGATAGAAACATTTGTCTTCATCAACTAATGTCTTATATTTAATGTGGAATAAAACAACATCTTTGCCCTTATGCTATTCTGACATATTTACAAGCCCTGCAAAACAAAACATACCTGGTGAAAAACACTGGTTTGTGAATATATTGATCTGTTATACTTCAGTCTGCATCTCACAGTACAATATTTAGCATAACACTTCTGGTTTTAGCATTTACACATATATTTCTAATCAACAAGGTGTTCGCTAAGACTTGCTTTGAAATACAGAATGTAGCTTTTTCAAATTCTTAATATTACAGACACCTTTGTATTGAAAAAAAGCCAAGGACAAAAGCATTGCTGAATAAACCAGTTTTCATGCTGCCGCTGTCCTCCTCTTGTTTCTGGTCTGAAATCCTTGCTGGATTGCTGTTCCACAAAGCCTGTATATGTGTCAGGAATCGGATCATAAACTAAAATCTTAGAGTTACGGAAGACAAACCTCTTCAGTCTTTCAATAACACCTCACAATTTAAGTATCCTACTGCCAGTCCCAAACTATATAAGTATTACGAGCTACTTTCACAATGAGTTGAAAGAAACTGCTTGGCTTAAGTTTCTCCCCAAGAAAAACAAGTAGATAAACAGTAATCATATGTAGCTCTCAGATGCCCTATTTAAAAGTGATAACCAAACCTGCTCTTAACCAAGCAATTCAAGATTACAATCTGTACCCTACTACTGAAAGGACACAGTATGGAATAACATAAACTCCTTCAAAATTACTCTGAAAACCTTAGCTGTGCAACAACTTCATCACTTATTTCCAGTAAATGAACAAAGTATGCTATTTTTTTAATGCTGTAAAAAATCATAGGGCATTAAAAACCACAACTATAAAAACTGAAGAGATACTATAAGGAGCACAGCTATGCATTATGAAATGGTTGTTTAATATAATCCAAATGTCAAGCATTCAAAGCTATGAACAATTTCTGATATGCTGTCAGATGTAGGTTATGTTTAAACACAATCATAACAATTCTAAGAAGTCTATGTGCGGTGCTTAATTATGTTCAAAATTGCTTTTTTTGTCACTAAGATATCATCTTCTCAGATGAACTAACAGTGTATCTACTCTTTTAAGCTGAGAATGTATTTTTGTAATTTTTCCAAAATTGATAAAAAAGTACTTCTGACCAGCAGTACTAACCAAAATATCACATTAAGTAAAAACCAAGACATCCCAAACCCTTCCATAATCACAAAATGTTGACAGTTCAAGAATGCAATAATTATTTTATCAGTTGGCAATTTATACCTGCAATCATGTCGTCCACAGTACTCATCTTCAGCAGTACCTGTTCAATTAAGCCCACTTCTGTGCTAGTCTGTAAATTACGGACACTTTTACGTAGAATTGCTGTGAACATACTCCAGATTTCTGCTTGGCACGTTACATCACAGTGCTCCAAAAGCTCTGACATGCACGTAATGCTCTCTGCATCCTGGATTATAAAGTTCATCTCTAGATCAAATTCGCCACCAACCAGCTACAAAAGAAAACAAGAACAGCATTACAAAGTGAAATACATCGTTTAGTGTCTTTCATATCTTCATTGTGACCAACACTGAGTATTTTTTGCATGATGAGAGAGGAAATTTTGACAGGGAAACTCACAGCTCTGATCTGGACAGTAGCAAATCAACAATCATGCTATGCAAAACATAGCTGGTAAAAAATATACGTATAATGAAATATTACCTTCAATTTTGACATAGTGCTGAATACAACACTTTCATAAAATAAAATCAAAAGATATTTGAAATATTCCTTCCTATAAAGTAACTGAAATGGTAGCCTGACCCAGAGAGATGTAGCACAGAAACTGCAGAACCTGAAAAGCTCAAAAGCAATTGAAGCTTTCCTACAGTTCTCTGAAGAAAAATTTACCTACTCTGAAATAAAAAAGACACTGAAAATAACTTAGCTATGTTTTCTCCTGATATAAACCAACATTTTTCCTTAGTTACTCGTTCGCAAGACCTTACTGCCCTTTCCATTGTACCACACAAATAGTCATGCAGTCATGCTCAGAAAAAGAATCAGTGATCTTCTCTGGACCACAACAGACACAGAAAACTTGCTTAATTATACCTCAGATCAGTTCACTGTGGGGCCAAGGAAACCTACTGCTGGTGTAAGGGAGAGACAGCATTGGGAGAGGAACAAGCACTCAGATGAAAAGCGATTTAACAGCAGCACTGATGAAATCACAGCCTGACTCCTATCTAGCCAGATACTTGCAAAATGCTACCCAATGTCCTGAGCTCCAATTAAATAGCACAACCACCAGGCACATTTCAAGGAGGGAGAGAAAAAAAAAAAAAAAAAGAATTAGCAATAATTTGCCAAAGATATAATCAAGACCAAGTATATCTTAAGGGATGGAACTCACGAATTTCAACTAGTCACTTGCATAACTTAAAAAAGATGATCTCAAAACACCTTACTGAACTGAATATAAAACTTAGTTTTAAAAAATAATCTCCTTTTAATGGCAAAAACATCTTTCAATTCTGAAGGAAACAAAGCCTGAGTCTCATGCATCCTATTTTATCCTAGTAATCTTGAAGAATTTTGAAATCACCCATGTTAAATTTCAATAGCTGCAAATATATTACCTTATTCAGAAAGGCAAAGAACAGAATAAATTAATTCTAAAATAATTTTAAGACATTCTTTTCCATTTGTTTCAGAAGTTATATAATTAAAATTACAGTAATATGTTTTAAATTAAAGATATTCAAAGAATTCATCTCTTATAAGTGCATAATTCCAACGGTCACTTTTAATAGAAGGCTATTTCATAGCCTATTTAAAAGCAGTTGGTATTGTCTTCAAATTAAACTCCAAACAAGAAGCAAACTGAAATACTACGCAAGTTTTTTTTTTGATGGTTAAACCAATCCAAATATTCAAAGTCTTCTTTCAGACCCAAACTTCAGACAGAATTAATACAGCTAAGAAAGGACTACCTTTGGTTTCTACCCTAAATCATAATTTTCATCCACTTACTAATTACTTTTTCTCTATCAATTAACTGCTTATAACCAATTTATAATTTTCTAACATAAAAGCTTCTAACATACTAAATATATAAACTGACTACCTCCTTACTTCTCCTGAGACATTTAATTACATTCAAATAAAACTATTATGCTAATTATGATTTGTATTTTAGCTTAGAACTTGTAACTGCAGATCATATATTTGCATATTTGGTAAACACATAATATGTACCAAGGGCAGGCAATAAAACTGTCAAAATTAGAAGCATGGTCATTCATTAGAATCATTAAATAATTTTACAGAGGAAAACACACTTTTCAAGAAAGCCAGGTGGAGTTTCTATTTCTGAAAACAGCAGTAACTGGTGCACACTTCACCCACAATCTGTGTGGGTTTTTTTTCAGATACCTCTCCACTTGGACGAGCCTGTCTGAGATTATGTTAAAAATGGATGGAGGTAAAACAGGCACCTGTACAAGACAGTCAATTAAACTCTCTTAGTTGCTTATCCTAAGGCCAAATGAAGCACCTTCTGGAAGTCTCTACATCTTTCCATTTCTTTCCATGCAGGAAATTGAGGATGAGAAGTCGTATTTGTGGAGCCTCTATCCTTGGATACACTCAAAAGCTGTCTGGACACTGACCTGTACAACCAGCTCCAGTCCGCCCCGCTTGTGCAAGAGGATTGGATCAAAGAACCTCCAGAGATCCCTTCCAACCTCAATAATTCTACGATAATATTTAGATATACAACTTTCAGATACCTAATTTAGATGAGATGAATCCCACCTTTTGTTTTTGACAAGAGATGGATCTAAAAACAAGGAAAAAACTAGTAATACCTCAGTTGGAATGCAGAGATTCAATACAGACTGATCCCTCTTTCCTCAAACACTATTAATTGTAAAATTCTTGCTAATGTAAATTAATAAACTATCACAGAATGGTTAAAACAGACTAAAATAATTCACAACAGACTAAAAGAATTCAAACTGCCTGTGCTTGCTAATGTAAATTTATATACCGACATGTAATATTTAAAACAGACTGAAATAGAGCTCATTGTATCATTCTGAAGTGATGGGACATTTCAGTACTATTAAAAACAAGCTGTCTTTAAATACAAATAAGCTCAGCGAATCTGCATAAAAAAATACACTGAATGGTAATAAGATTGATTTCATGGAGAATCTTCTACTGGGCTACAGACTACCCAGCAAGTACTACAATTTTTTCACTTATCCATTTGGCAGCAACAGATTTATAGTCCATCAGAGTGAGCGCTTATTTCACCAAAGAAAACATTAAGAAGTAACTGATTTGTCCTTAACTTCAGTTTAAGCATATTTCAGCCACTAATAATGATCATAATTACCATTAAAATAACTTCCTCAATAAAGGAAACAAATTAATGAGCTAATTAATGGTGATGGCAAAAATTTAAGAACGTGGGGGAGGGTTACTTTTTTAAAGTATTCATCCTAAAAATCAGCATAGATCAAAAATATTAGCAGTCACGGTAAAAAGAAGTCTAAGAAGACAAGGAAAATCCAAAGAAAAATGAAGTGAGTACAGAGAAATAAATTACCATGGTTAAATTGTGTTCAAGAGTAATACAAAGCAACCACCTCTGCTTTAAAATGTGAAAAATAAAATATAATTCAGCCAAGAAAAGAAGTAGAATTTTCACTATATAAAAAAAAGCTTTGTCTAACAACATTTCTACTCATGTATTTCCCAAGAAAAAGACACTCGGTAAAGAGGAATAACCAGCATTCACAACAGGAAGGTTATCAGTGGAGAACCACAGCAATAATAAGCTGGTAACAAGTGCAGATACTAATGCAAGGACAAAGTTTGCTGGAGCCAAAAATCATTACATGTAGTTAAAAAACACCAACTACTGAGAGCTGCAAAGATTTTTCTGATATCAAGTGGTCAGGCAACAACATGTAAGAAGGGTTCAACGTTAGAAAATGCAAAGTAATACCACATTATTATAGTTTTACCCATATGCACAAAATGACAGGCTCTCAAATCTGCTATTATCAGCCAGAAAAGAGATCTTGGAGTCTCCGTAGGTACTACTTTAAATAACTACGCCACATTAAAAACTGTCAGTAGGCATCTAAAAATTCATAATGAACTTGCAACTTTATAACTATATCCAATTCTGGATGCAGTACCACAGACAAAAAAGTTAAATCATACTGCCATAAAATAACTTATTTTTAATATAACATGTGGAAGAGTTCTATAGTAAGAGAAATTTCAGCTAGGGTACAATATGAACACTAAGACAGCAATCCTTACAGGAGCCGGTATACCATACCATAAATCAGCGCTGTTTCCATATCACAGATCTCAAATACAATCTTTTTTCTTATGTCAAACACTCAGTCTTAATTTGCATTCTTCAAGTGAACATTTAATATTCAGTAAAGAACGTGCATTCACTGTGATTAAGTATCTGGAATTATCGCTTGTACTTTGTCAAGCTCATGTATCACTTTTTAACTATTCTGCATCTTTCACAGCACCGCTGTAAGAAATAAAGCAGCAAGCTAACGTTTGGATTATGGTTCCAAGTCAGATGAATACGGCCAACAAACATAACTCCTTCTGAAGAAGTACTGAACTGGCAGTTACAAGCAAATTCAGCTATCTTCCCTATCCTGTGGTTGTTTACAATGACAGGTTGACACTCCTTCCAAATTGCTCCAAGAACCTATCTTAACCTACACCACCACCATCAAAAGCAGCTGCACTACTCAGAATCTCCTTTGGTTTTTTGTTTTTTTTTCAATGCTGTGGCTATTCCTCAGTAAGCTTCTGCCATTCATTATGCTATGCAATAAAAGTGTTTCTTCCTCAGCTGTCACATCTAGGCAGAATTAGGCTGGTCTTTTATGTCCCTTTTGGTCTCGAACGGAGATTAAATACACCCCAAAACAGAGAAGTTGTCTACATATGCCTGATACTATGTTCAGATCAATTGCTGAAATGGAGTAAAATAAGGGCTGCTGAACATCTGGAATTAAGTTGTTTACTTGTGAAAATCAGAATTCTTCAGAATCAGATTATCAAGTTCTGAAGAATGGACTGGAAGAAAGAATAGAATAGAATAGAATAGAATAGAATAGAATAGAATAGAGTTCAGTTGGAAGGGACCTGCAAAGAAGATCTAGTCTAACTGCCTGACCAGTTCAGGGCTGGCCAAAAAATTAAGTATATGATTAATGGCATTGTCCAAATGCCTCTGAAACACTGACAGGCTTGAGGCATCAACCACCTCCCTAAGAAGCCTGTTCCATTGTTTGACCACCCTCTTGGTCAACAAATGCTTCCTAATGTCAAGTCTGAACCTCCTTTGATGCAGCTTTGAACCGTTATCATGCATCCTGTCACTGGATACCAGGGAGAAGAGATCAGCAGCTCCCTCTCCACTTCCCTTCCTCAAGAACCTGTAGAGGGCAATGA